TTACAAGAATCAAATCTGCTCTTTCTTATAAATGATCTTCACTGTTGCGACAATCACTATGTCTTTTCACGAGTGTGCTATGTAGGAGTGGTGTCAACCTCAAGGAACTTCACTTTTTTATGACTCTACTTCGACAAAATTCTCATCCATCACGCAACTGTGCGGCACACACATATATACTCACCTTAAAGAACTCCTGTGCTAATGTGGCTTTTTGTACGACTTGTACTCCTACAACTACTCTTCTCAGCACAGTAAAGCCAACTTTTAGCATACACCAGACAAACAAGCGTGTACGCTTAAAACAGCTTTTATTTGATAAGGTCGCAAATGCAGACATGCAAATCAGCCTCCTTCTTTTTGCTTACAGTAGTTCTTGAGTATATCTGACTCACGATGAAAAACAATTATAATGGCAATGATTTATACCACAATTATTATATTAATGCACCGAGTTAATTACAACACTAAAGCTACAAGAATCAAGGAGTCAAGGCACTTATAAAAAAGCGATAAAGATCGCTTAACCTATATTAAACAATCCAATTACAAAATACAAGTCGATCAATGCGCAGTAGTTAATACAAAACAATAGGCACCTATTTGAGCCTGGAAGTCAATTACGTCGCATAAAAAAGCAGCCGATCGACCGATATTTCTTTAAGATACTCAACAATATTCTCAAAATACAAGTTCATCGGGTTAGATTCATCGGGTTTTTACACCGGTTAGGAGATAAAACGGATACAAATCTTGTGCAATTGATGGTTACAGATAGTATGAGTTGCAAACTTATGGCAAAAATGTCAAAGTTAACATTATGCGAGTAACTAATATCAGTGCAGAACTTACCAGGTTGAAGATAAAAGGAATTTTGTTTAAATTAAAGTTAAATCTTTAACGTTTCTTACAGTCTCCTAGACTATCCTTACTTGCCACTCTGATGACGTTAGTCAACTACTCTTGGAGTCATAATTGTCAGAGGTACATCTGCATGAATTTCTTCGAATTTTCAAATGTTACGAATAGGCATCCTGACGCTAGGCATGTACGGATTAGAGTCGGTAGCAGACCTTTGTACAATGCTTTGATACCTGAAGCAGAAAAATTTGAGGATTTTTTTGAAGATCATGCTCTTCACCAAAAATTCAACCGATTGAGAAACTTACCTTCTGTTCGTATAACACCCAGCATAAGTGCGACAAAATTTCCACCGCCTGCTACCTAAAAGAAGCAAAAACCATATGAATTTTTGGGAACAACTTTGTAAATCTCAAATTTCACAAGGTGAGTTTCTCTTGCATTTGCAGACTCAGTACGTTTATTTGTTACAGCAGATGCGGACCTAACAGGGATAGAGGAAAGGGAAAACATAACCATCCATAGCAGTGCTTTAGATACTGTTATACACA